TTGTTAATTATAATGAGTTTTGATTGTGAGATACAAATTACATATAATTGAATCTTAAATCATTCATGATCGTAAGTAATAATGAGATATAGATATCGTTATCATGGATCGATCATCACGTGTGGCATTTTTTACTTGAGAAGTAAGTGTCCGACCTCACAAGTTAAAGTGTGGTGACATTTAAATGAACACGTGAATGTTTTGTTATGAAATAAAACATTGGAGACCACTAGAGAGATTTCACATGGATAACTATCTAAGTCTCAGTGGATAATCTCTAACGTACGGTAGTGAAATTCACCCTTCGACTTGGGTTCATCGTAGTATCTTATATGAGGACAGTCATACTTTGGTGATATTGGATGTTGCTCTGTCAAGAGTCGCTAATATGACATTGTTTGGATATGTCAAAAATCATATGAAAGTTGTAAATGATCAATAAAGGATTCATCATTCTTAGATAGTAAGATATTATGATCTACATTTCATTCAATTAAGTTGATAACAATATTTTTGGCCAAGATGTATTTATAAGTTGAAAATGAGTTTTCGATTTATATTGACTTAATAGTAGAATGAAAAATATGATCGATAATTGAAACTGACTCATATTCATATCTTGTATTTGATCGAATCATATTGACGAAATGATTATAGTTTTACGATAAACGAACAAGTTTTGTTTTATCATACCAGGTGACTTTTTTCGTCAAGTGTATTGCCCTGATAGATCAATTTGAGACAACGAATATGAATTGACGATAAATTAAAAAGAGATATTTTAATTTATCGATTTTGTTTAGATCAAAATAATAATTCACACCGTTAGACATTGTGATTGGGAGTTTAATGGGTTACACACAAAAGGAGTTTTAAAAGAATGAGATTTGCTAGTGTTGGATAATTAATTAATTCATGAACCAAATTTACTTAATTGGATTAATTAAATATCGGACAGGATTAAGTAAGGAAACGAGCCAAATCCACTTGGACTTATATTAATAGGTTGCTAGGGTTTAAAAAAATCAATAGAGAAAAAAGATTATTCTCATTAGCACAACAAAAGAAAACATTAGTTTTCTTAATTTTGTCCCTTGTATGAATTTCAATTGGAGGTTGATTAATTGGACAGCTGTAAATTGCAGATCATGATTGTTCGAGTTAAAGAAAAATAAAGGAGTTTGCAGAATTCATTAAATGTATGACATCACAATTTCTATCCAAACATAAAGTAGATTCGTGATGAAAATTAAAAATTATTTATTTTCTACTATGCATGATTAAGTAAATTCTCAACAAATTACACATCAAGCAGAAAAGGTTGTTGGGACATATTATACTAAAATCTTTGACTCGAAGATTTATACATATCACCTGATGAAATTATATTTAAATGTGTCGTACATATCTATCTACCTATTTTCAAGATTGTGGAGGCTGTGGTCTAAATGCATGAAGCCATGAACCATATGATATTAAGTACACTTCTAATCAAGGGGAGGGGGTATAGTCCAACACTTAATTAAAGAGCAAAATGGAATTTGACATCACTTCCATCAAATTCCATCGAAATAGATTAAGTTTTTATTTTATTTAAAAATGATAAGTGAACATGGATCAAGTTTTCAATTTCAATATTACACTAGAGAATGAAAATATGAATTAAACTTCTTTGACCGAAAAGATTTTGACAACTTGTTTAACCTACACCCAAATGGAAGTGAAATTCATATTGGACTCATGTAAATAAAAAAAGTCCAAAAAACTACTACCCCTATTGTGGGTACATTGCCAAAGAGGGCAACGTTCTTAGGTCATCTCCAGCGTTACACCAAATTTTACACCAAATTTTACACCAAACCAAAATTCTTCTCCAACTATTATACCAAAACTTACACAAAATGAATAGTGCTTTATTATTTTATTCATTCTTTCGATTTTTGACAATGCATTTATTTAAAAAGATTTATTTATTTATTTATTTTATAACTATATAAATTACTAAATCATAACTTCGTTAAATTAACAAATATATTGAGTACTAAATTATTCATGTGTTTTATATATTATGTTAAATTAACACAAATAATTGATTATATTATGAATTTATGATAAATAATTACATTAAATTTACAAAAATAATAAACTTTAATAATATAAACTTTACATTAAATTAAACTTTACGTTAAATTAACAATTACGTTAATTATTATTGATTATATTATTAAAAATAATAAACTTTAATAATATAAACTTTACATTAAATTAAACTTTACGTTAAATTAACAATTACGTTAATTATTATTGATTATATTATTAAAAATAATAAACTTTAATAATATAAACTTTACATTAAATTAAACTTTACGTTAAATTAACAATTACGTTAATTATTATTGATTATATTATTAAAAATAATAAACTTTAATAATATAATTAATAGTATGATTAATTAAGTAATTAATAATAATAATAATAATATTATTATTATTATTATAGAACGAAAATGATACAAATACTCTTAACCATCATCTTTGAAAAATGAAAAATAAGGGCACAATGAACATTGCACCATTTGGTGCAAAAAATGGTGTTGTACCAAATAAGATGCAACACTATTCATGTTGCAACATTTTGCACCAAAATTTAGTACAATGGTTGGAAGAAGTTTGCACCAAATTTTGGTGCAATTTGGTGCAATAGAGATGCCCTTAAAAGGATTAGGCCAAACAAATAGGCTCAGTGACAGGAGCCTGTTCTAGGGATTGAAATGTCAGCCTTTGATTGGCAGTGTTTTATTTTATTTCTTTTAAATATAGAATGAAAATTCGTCAAATGTCCGCTTCTCTAAAAACCTATCACTAAACTTGTTGATATAGCATGACTGTTCTTAAAATATTGGATTTTCAGTTCAAAGTGAGACTAGTGAAAAGGCCAAGTAAGGTCAAATCTCATAATGGAAATGGAGAGTTTCCGTGTCGCAGAAGACCTTATGGAGTGAACAGAAGTGCAAACCTTTTCGTGAAATCTTGGCTCCACCCCTGCAACATATAATTCTATCTATCTAATACATGAGTTGACTTCTTTTCCGTTAGCACTACAAATTACTTTATCTACCTAAAGTGTTTGTTATCTATAACAGAAAGAATTGATTGATCAAAGTCACAATGATCTTACATTGAAACATAACTATAGATTTGTAACATTGTGTAGATAAATCAGCACGAATGAAACTGGTCAGTGCATTTTTGCCTGTAAGTATAGTGGTGCCATGTAAAGTAAATCACTCATGAACTTTGACTCGATAGTCTACTGAACAATTTTCTTGGAAATGAGGCAAACTTAAAAAAGAAGCTTTTGAAAAGGAAAGATTAGACTTCCATGGGTTAGGTACAATATCGTTGTTACTTGTTTGTGTTTAAACTCTAAGCAGCCAGAATTGAATGTGGATCATTGTTATATCTATTTTACGCGCATAAAACCATCAATCCTTGTCTGCAATAGTAAAAGGATTCTAACTAAAATGCCTCCCTCGATCAGAATAAATACAATATTATGGCCCATATGAAGAGAAAAACCTCCCTTCTAATCGTGTACGGCACGTTTTGTCCTCGAGTTGTCCAAGAGACAGTAACCTGTGATTGAAGTATGAGGCCTCTGAGGGGCTAGCTCATCGGCCTACTTTAAACTCAACGTGCATTCTTTTCATTGGAG